AGCCCACTAGCTTAATTAGCCGTTCAATCAACAGCCTAGCCTTTTTACTGAACAACGCCTTTGAACTAGCATCCTGAATTATATTCAGCCGTAGCTTTTGTTGCAACATTTAATAAACTGGCTGGCTAATACTTACGCTTTATTGACGGTTTGAAGTAGGTGGCAGAAAGTGGAATTAAATTGAAAAGAACAGGATAGGCAAGTAATGTAACGTCATCGATTAATGTCATTTGCATAGCCGTTTGATCAAATAGCTGAATATCATTCAGGCCACTAGTTGAACGGCGCTGTTTAGTAAAGAGACTAGGCTGATAATTAAACGGCTAATTAAGCTAGTTACCTGCGACATATAGACGGACCTACATACATGTATTAGTAGCTATATTTCTCTTGAGGTAACGTAAATCAGGAATTATATCTATTAAAGAAATGGTAGAACACTGCTGTGCCTGACACTCCGTCGACGTTTTAGGCCTAGGACTCACTCAGTTTCCTCACGACATGTCCTTCACCGTAGGAGCAAGTATTCAATGCACACATAGACAAAAAGTCTTTTGGTGCACAGCCGGGGATCGAATTTCGGACCGTAGGGGTGAGAGTAGCATGAAGTTACTGGGCTAATAGTACTGTTCATTCAAACTAATGAAATAATCCAATTTTGGATTTAATAATTGGAGCGTAACCTTGTTCATGATGATAATTTGATGCATAATAATAAAATATATTCAATACATTATCGTTGACGAAGGCCGGTACCACTCATCATTTCAAAGATAGTACTTAGCTGAAAACAAGTTATTCGCGTGTTTTACATTTATATATACAGACTCCAGAAGATAAACCACTCCTTATATGGAAATTGTATTCGTTTTTACAACAAACTCCCAAGCGAAATTAGAGAATTATCACTGAATAAATTCAAAGCTCTGGTTAAACGTAAATTAATCAATAAAGCTTTTTATAAATTTGAAGATTATTTAAATTATTCTAATCGTTGGGATTGATTTGCTCCAGTTCTAACAATTTCTATGACTCAAAACTTGTTGATTAAAAAGAGCGGCGAAGAGTTTCTTGCCAGTTCTTCTCACTCTCTACGCCCTTGACTTGCGAACTGGTAGTAAATGTAAGTTTAGAATTAATTTAACATATTTTCTGTTGACGTTCATAAGTGTACTTGGTTACCTAGATATGAATAAAGTTATTTTGAGTTTGAGTTTGGACATTAAGAGGTCATAAAGTCGAACTTGTACATGTCGATTTAGAACAGCAATAGAAAAATAACTGAAAGCAATGGTCAATGCCGGATTTAGAGGTCTGCAAGCCTCGGGCAACAAAGGAGTGGAGGCTCCCTGGCCCCAAATTATTTTGCAAATAAAATGGGATAAAATTGTCTAGTTTTCCTATTAATAATTTATTGCGTAACCACGTAAGTAAAAAAATATTTTGGATTGTTATTATTATAATTTACACAAATACAAAGAATTCTTTCATTTAATCATTTTACTATATCTATGTAATTAAATACATACAAACTGTAGTTTTCCATTAACTAATCGATTTCCTAATCTTTATGTCCTGAAGTGTAGGCAATTATCCGAACGTTAACTAAGTACGAGAACGTTAAATGGTCCTAATAATATGTTTCATTGTTTACTCATTCTAGTTATTAACCGACTTCAAAAAGGAGGCTATTCTGATATTGTAAGAATTGCATATTTCATATTTATTTTCTTGATTATTTCTACTTTTCGTTACTGCATGTTTGTCCACACATTTCTCGAAGACTGAAATTGATATAGAGATGTTTTTATTTGAATCACGTAAACACATAAGACACCATCAAATCAGTTTAGTAGTTTTCAAGAAGAGAGTATCAAAACATTACTAGTAGGTATATGAAGACTATAGATGACTATTTACAGAGCAGTGTTGGCTTAGTGGCTTTAGCGTGCGACTCTTACCCTGAAGTCGCAGGTTCGAACCTCGGTTGTGCACTAATAGACTTTCTGTCTATGTGCGCATTTAACACTCGCTCGAAGGAAAACATCGAGGTAAATCAACCTGCCATACTGCCCAAGCCCATAAAGCACGGTAAGTAAGACACACAAGCACAGAAGGCAACCTGCGACTCTCAAACCCACTAAAACCTCGTCGGGTTGTTTGTAGGCGGTCGCGCTCAAGCATCAGTAGTAAGCAGATCAATCATTCTATAAGGACCGAGCTTGTATTTTATTGTTTATAGAATGCCAAATCGAAGTGACTGCATCACTACTGATTTGGGCCCGCCCCCCCCTCTTTAACCCCTCTTTTTGTTTTTAAAATTGGTTTTAAAATCCCCAAGTCAGAAAAACTATTAGAAAAATCAAATGTATTTAAAGTCGGCTCATTTTTCTATTACTTTTTATAATTTATGCAGTGTTCAAGGTTAGCCTTAGTTATAAACGTGTTCTATAACATATGAAAGGTTCTTAAACGTGTCACTTCGGTTGACCTTAGATCCGGACACGGTATCGTCAAGGATTCTTCTACTTCCCTATATCCTAATCCACTTACGCGTATACATTGCTATATATTTTGACTTTGAGATGTTTGCAATTTAAATAAAAATCTAAATAATGCATAAAAACAAAAGACAACAATCTCAGAATGATGAAGCTGTTTCCTTATATTTCTTTAAGGGCTGGTAAATGATCAGCCTTTTGTGCCACACATTTCAATTTAGGTGGCAAAGGCATGCCTAGTTTCCTCACGATGTTATGTACGTTAAGTGCGGTATCTTCCCAAATATCATATATAAAACATATCGTGAGCCGTAATTTAACCAAAGGGTTATAAGTCTCAAGCTTTAAGAACTAGGCGAACACTGCTAACAGCATCAAACATTGTCTTCTCATCGACTTCTTCTTTGAAGCAGAATGACATGTATTACAGATGCCCAAAGATTGATGTTACTTTGACGGTCATTATTCCTGATTTTATACTTTAAATACAAGAGGGTTAGGTATATTTTACTTTGATCTATTTGTTTCTAACATATCTTACGTTGTGACATATACGTAGGTATACACATAACATAATATAGCTTGGATAATGTAGTTTCATGTTAAATTTTATGTTTTCGTTTACAAAGTGTTTCATTATGAATATATTATTTACAGTATTAGTAGTACATTGAGCGTGAAAAAGATGTATTCTTAAGTGTCGTCTACTGATATACCTTGTCATTGTGTCTTTATTTTATAATCACGCGCTGAAAATCACACGATTCTTTGTATTTTTTGGTCGTTTCTACGAGATAATTTATTTATGCTTGTAACAAAAGGATGTGGTTTTTGTAAATGTACAAATTGCATAAAATAATTTAATGACCATCTTTTAGTTAATGACGATCGCAAAACAAATTAATAACCTTGCAATATGATAAATAGAAAATTTACGATTACAGAAGTTAAGGCAAGCAGTGTTTTTGTATTATAAGAGTAGTACTCTACGTACTCCTCTGCCACCGTGTCCAGGGACTTTTTCTATCTCTTAAATTTTTACTAAAAAGATACAATAATATAGATGTATACTATAGCGGGGTATTTTGTAGGACTATTTAAGATTATCATACATTACATATGTGTAACTCTAGTGGTTTTTCACGCCAGAATAGCTCGCAGATGGTAGATTTTTTCCTACACACTTGATATTTTGGACAATTCACACATTATCTTTATAAACTGTATGTTATTCTGACGTATAGGCTATATTATTGTAAAGTTTCATTAAAATCCATTCAGTAGTTTTGACGTGAAACAGTAACAAACATCAATACTTACAAATATATTTTATAATATTAGTAGGATTTTTTTATTTTGTTTTTGTTCAATAATTAACTTTCCTAAAATATTACGATATATATTATTATTATATTACGTTATATCGTATAAGCGACAGAAGCAATATTCAAATGACAGGCTTCTTAACGCAAAATAATACACAGTTTTACTTATATTATACAAATTAGCTGTTAACAAATCTATTGTAACTTGTATGAATAATATTTAAGAATATGTATAATAAAATATGTAATATCTAGTAAGTATAATAATATATTTAAGAATTATTTGGATCGGGAAAAGGTAATTTTGTAAATATAAAAAAACTCCCACAAACCAAATATAGAATGAGCCAACCGCCGTGAACACAAAAAATCGTTATTGTTTTCGTACGGGTAATCCTCAATTTGCAGTATCACTATAATCTTAAATAGATAAGCTTTGGGCAAAACCTATAAGATCCGTTTTTATTTCAGAGGTTGCCAACATTTAATACTATATGTTTTTATGAGAAATTTAATCTGTCAAAAATTGCATTACCACTGGTTTTATGAGAAATGTTCGGTATCAAAGTAAACTATGATAGAATAACTTTGTAAATTATCGCACAATTATCATACATAAAACATAATGTTTTTGATACAAGCAAATTTTTTTTATTAAATTCTTTTACTCGTGTTAAGTCACAGGGTCCCAAATCATAGTTTCATAGGTACCTATAGTTTAGTATGTTACTATGATGCCCAACTATGTACCATATAATTTATTCATTTATTTATTTCAGTAAAACCCTTAAGCACTTATTCTTGTTTATGCTAAAATTTTCATTGTGTCCCTATATTTTTATTATTTCTAAAACAATTTATAGGCATACAAACTAAAATATATAAATATTAAAATATATTAACATTTAAAGCCTCAAAAGGCACTACACACCTGACTTCGTTTTATACCGTACGTAAATATAAAACAAAAGAATGAGCTGCGTTATTAAGTAACTTGCAGTAGATAACTAATTATCAAACCGATTTTGTAATTTAAGACATTAAATAATTGGAACATTTAGATCTAACTTATCAGTTAGTTAAAAACGTTCTAACGATATACAACAAAATACGGAAAAACTCCAACGTCAAAAAATTAATTAAAAAGTAAAAAGTGTTAACAAACGGAAGTAAAATGACGTTAAAAGTAGAAAAGGAGTTTCAGCCGAGTGAAACGAAACGTATAGTGAAGAATGTGGTCATCATCAGTTTGGCGTTTATGGTGCAGTTCACGGCGTATAGTGTGAGTATATATTCTTTATTCAAATAGAAACTACTGATACACCTGTAGCTCTGTAAAACCCAGTGGCGTAACTATACAATCTGGGGCAAAATCTTTTAATGGGGAATTATCCGTAAAAATCGACACGTTGTACTCAGTTTAATTTTTAAACTTCGAGATTTTCAGCGTACTCAATTACACGTTGTATATGTCCAACTAATGGCCATAGGCCTCCTCTCTTAGGCGAGAGGGAATGGTCTGTAGTCCCCACACTAGCCCAATGCGTATTGGAGACTTTGCATTCATCTATAGAACATAATAACTCTTCGTCAGGGACCGTCTTGGGTTGGGTGCCCGTGGCATTTTGCGAGCCCTGCCACCCTATTGTTACGCCACTGGTAAAACCATTTCATTTTTAATAAACACTTTTTACATTACACATTTCCAAGTTAGGCTAGTTCCTAAAGTTTAATGTGTCTATCTGGCAATTTGTAAATACAGGCAGTCCTCGACTTAGGTCGTTTCAAGTTACGTCGAACAATGTTTTGACACTATTCCTCAAGCATACGTCATTTGATTCGATTTCCGGCATAGGAGAATTCACTTGTCTTGTGCAAATTTGGAGAATGCCATGATTTTTTTTAAGAAAATGATCCTAATTTTGACAGAAGTTTCAACGTTAATAACAAAATTTGTGCAGCCTATCAGTGTTACCAAGATCTGTATGATGAAGAAGAAAGAAGCGAAGCAATCTAAAATTGATAGTTTCTTTAAGCCAAAAGTTTAATTTATTATTTCTCATTACATATTAAAGTTTTATAATTATTATTAAAATTAATAACACACAAATACCAAAAATAACTAGCAATTTCATAAGTGCATATATCATTATTTTAAGAACATTTGATAATAAAGTATGTATATCCTTTGTTATAAAAGCAGTTTTTTTTAATTTCGAGTCCGTGAGGACTTTAACCCTCGAGTTTTACATGTAAACATACGAAAAAATATGTCTCGACTAACGTCGTTTTGATTTACGTCGCGTATTTCGAGAACCTAACACGCCGTAAGTACGAGGACTGCCTGTACAACACAATCTTTAATGAAAAAAACAACATAATCTAGGTAGATCATGTCTTACTGCTCTGTCTGTTGTAAGCAGTTTCTTTCAGACCTCCCCGTCTACGGCTGTAATATCGCTATTCTTTTGTTATCCGTGAACGGTTGTATCATTGGTCGGAAAGTATGAGAATGCAGTATTTATCCAACCCAGTTTGCTATTTGCAAGCTTTACCTAGGCTTTAGACGTTTGTCGTAACCATTTAATATTTAGCTACTTAAGTAGATTAAACGTTTACAATGTTTGACAAATGCCTTATTTTTCTCAGGTGATCTTGATCCAATAAAGCGCTTATATAGCGATATGTTCTTTAATATTGTGGAACATTTTTTTTTTATCATAAGTTTTCACAGCGCTTGCGATGAAAGATATTTTATATGCATGTTTTCTACATATTGTTATATTGTAGTTCTAGTAGGGATCCTAATTTAATCTTGCAAATTTTATTATTATATAATTTTAATTGCATATATTAACCAATGATAATGTAACATTCATTTTGTGAATTTTTAAAATCAGTCCTATTACTTTTGAGCCAATTCGTTACAAATATACTTACATACAAATCTTTCCTCTTTATAATATGAGTATGGGAGGACTCGATATCCTAACTCCTTTTGTACCATTGATCGGAACTCCTTCACGGGTAAAGGCCTCCTCCACCTTTTTCCAAATATCCATGGCTTTCTTTCTCCATTCGCTTCCTGCTAACCCTCGTACATCTTCTATCCACCTTTTTTTGAGGCGGCCTCTTCTCATATGGTCCCTTCCATATAGTTAAAAGCCCACTTTTTGTCTGTGCATCTTGCTTTACGCTCCCCCATTGCGACTTCTGTTTTAGGGCATAATGTGCCGACCATTTATAATTACATATATTGAGCAGTTTACAAGTATTTGGATTCCACGAACATACAATCCAATGTAGGGCAACTTGAATACAACCGCAACTGATCGTTATGACGTATTTTCCATGGAAAAGTCGTAAAAAACACGACACACCAAACAAACTTATTTTATAATGAATTCAAGTTATCTACGTGTATGCTAGATTAAAACAAAGCCGTAAAAAAGATAAAAAATTACCCTAATATTTGTGATTTTGTAGGGCGCTGCAAATCTCCAAAGCTCCATAAACGCCGAAGAGGGTCTTGGAATGAGTTCGCTGGCGGCTGTCTACGCGGGACTCGTTTTATCCAATATATTCCTACCAACGGCAGTAATAAAGTAAGTTTTTAATGTAATTGAGGCACAGAGTGTCTCTGAGGAAGAAGAAGAATGTGGTGCCTGGGGAACTTTTTGTGTTGTTAAAAGCAAACCTAATGTTGTATCAAAAATATAACCCAGGAGCTTCAGAACGCCAGCTGATCACAAAACCTTCAGGCGTTAATTTTGATTATTTAGGTTATATACGATGAAATAATAAAACAGTGTTTAAGTTTATAATGGCTTAACCTGCGTTTAAATACTTCGAAAATTCCGGGTGCTCCTGTAGGATGTGTCTTTCGGTCTATTAAGAGATTGTCTATCTAGATATTGAGAGGTGAGAAGTGAACTAAACAAGACACTATCATTTCAGGTGGATAGGCACAAAATGGGCGATATCTCTCTCGTTTGTGGCCTATATGCCGTTTATAGCTGCTCAATTATGGCCGTCATTCTACACTATGATACCAGCAGGGCTGTGTGTCGGTCTTGGAGGCGGACCCCTTTGGTGTGCGAAGTGTACCTATTTATCTGTGGTAAGTATTGAAAAAGACATTGAAAGCAGTGAGACTCTCATCCTGTAGGTAGGAAAACAAAAAAGAGCGTTTAATCACAGAAAGTCGACGGCTTATGTCAGTCACCTACTTGCCTATTAGGACCATACCTTGACGTTTGTAACGCCACTGGTTTTTTGTAGTTAGAACTTAGAAAACTGTGTTAGGTTAATAGCGATTTCGATTGTAAGATACATAGTTCACACAATACGTTTCGAGTGCTTATCCGCGATCGTGGTCAGCGATTATACTTTACGTACCAAAGACAATGTTATAATTATTAGCAAAAATCTTTTTGCAGTTATACTTCTTTTGGCGCGTTAGGGAAAAATTATGAAAGTAAATGTTTACGATGCGCGCGCATACTGTCACAAAAAACCGACATCTTGAAGTTAGCTATAGTCAACATTTTAGTTTTTTCTAATGTTGGTGTCGCTTTTTCTACAAATGTAGGATAAAATTTTTGAAAAGATTTCTATCTTGTTTTTGAGATTTTTATGTGACATTTGCATGCTTATTTTTATATGGATCATTGTGCGGTTTTATTTATATGGCTGAATGTACCACGTTTTTTGCAAATAAACGATTTATTTATTTATATAAAAAAACGTAGTAATACTGACACTTACTCCATCTAGATTTGACATCAAATTTACTTTAGACAACCTAAGCACAGAATGGAATAAAAAGACTCTAAAATAAAATAATTACCAAATTTTATCAAAATCTTTTGAAATGGTAACAACTGATATTCTTATACGGATCTATAAATATATTTTTTTAAAATAAGATCCTTGTTTTCAGGTATCTGAGGTTCATAGCAAGATATCAAATATAACAGCGGAAGCATTATTGACGCGATTCCTTGGTCTTTTCTTCATGATATTCCAGTTTAATCAAGTTTGGGGAAATCTTATCTCGTCGCTTGGTAAGTGCTCCTTTTTAATTTGCCTGTGGTTTATTGCGTCTGTTCATAGACTTTGAATTTTTTTTGACAGTATGAGAAGCAAATTTTATGATTTATAATAATAATATTTAGCCTTTATTTACCTATTCAAGAAATATACAATTTTATTATTCTATGATGCGGCCCGCGTTCGGGAGAATTCCTTCTCCAACTTTTCCCCCTCAACCCTTACAATCTCGTTGGCCCATCCCTCTTTAGGTCTGCCCTTATTTCTTTGTCTTTATGAACTAATCCACTTTTTGACTATTTTTTGGTTACATTTTTTTTCATTTGTACGTCTCAGTATCTTTTATTTTTGTTTTCCGCGGACATTTAACTTTCTGTTTGTCACTTTAATAATTTAAACTTGCTTTGAAATCGCTAAAGAATAGTTAATAGAAAAACATAATCGTTAACAATAAACAGCTATCAACTTAAATATAAATAAATATTTTCAGGTGCAAATAGTAACATACTTACTAGCATCATAGTAAGAAATTATAAAACTACTTTCAGTGTTATCCTCGGGCGATAATCAAGCTGCTGTGACCGCGATCAACGCAACCATGATCCCAGAAATCTGTGGAGCGAACTTCTTGCCCAGCGTTGATGCTGCAGAGGCCTTACAGCGGCAGCCTTATGAGAAAATCCAGCTCTTATCTGGTTAGCGGCAAATTTGCTAATGTTTTTTACGATCTAGCCTAATTTAAGACTAATGTGTCAATTAAGTCTAACCAAATTTACTAAGGATATTTAACATAATGTTCTCTTCGGGCAAGACACCCCGTTCTTGTGTTTTTTTCCACGTATTGCGGTTAAGCACTTAACACAAACGTACTAACGGCAAGGGCAAGAATCAGGAACTAGACTTAGTAGAAAGTTTGACTTCCGAATGTCAAAACTGTATTGGATTTTGAAACGACATTCTCCTCACTTGTCTTGTTACGCCCGTATTTTAGCCATTAATTAAAATAGTTTTTGTTAGAATACAGTTCTATTATTTGGATAATAGACGAAGTAGAGAAGAAGTAGAAGTATTACAAGTATTATAGTATTATAGCACAAAAATTCAGGACCCTGTGTGCGACACTGTTTATAAGTTTTTTGTTCTAATTGTTAAAATTCCATCAAAAATATTGAAGCAAATGCTTCATATAAATTATAGAACTCACCTTGTGACAGGATCTGATTATGGTTTGAATATGGAACAAATATTTGCATTTTATTGCAGGCATATATCTAGCGTGCATGGCGGCTGCGGCCCTCATTGTTGCAATTGGGGTAGATTCTATGAAAAGGTATGAATTAGTATAAATAATAATTATAATTAAAAACATTACATTATTGTATTCGTATTTCTTAACAGTGACAACTAATGACAACTTACTGTTTATGAACCATCTATATAATTAAAATTGACTTGCAAAATATGTTGTTAAGCGTAAGACTCGAAGACGGCGGGAGCAATCCGAGTATTTTATTTATTTATTCCTCCTCTGAGGAAGGTTTCTATAGAGAGCAAAATTTAATGGAACACCCTAAAAACCAGTATTCTTCTTTTGTTGTTGTGAACGCAACAGATATATTTTTTTAATAAATCGCCTATGTTTATAATCGCGCGATCTACGATTTGATCAGAAATGCCAACAAAATAATATTCATAATCTATATAATATCTATGTACCTATATAAAAAGTATTACTGACTAATTCATTAGTACCGAGCTTTAGAAACCTGCAATGTTTGCGGTTTAAATACTTCTTTTTTCATCTTTAATAAAGTGATGATAAATGTTATAGATACGATACTGGCCGTGCTGTCAAAGTAATGGGAGGAGTTGAAATGCTCATGGCGACCCTCAAGCTATTAGTGGAGCCCAAGCAGATTATGCTGATAACCATCATGGTCTTCACTGGATTACAGCAAGCTTTCTTCGGAGCTGATTTTACAGCGGTTAGTATTTCTATTTCTTGTTATTGTCATCTGCCACTGCAGAGTACGAGGTCTCGGGTCAATGAGTATGTAACGCCATGGATCCAGCAGATGCTCTCGTGTTACACCAGCCGTGGGTAATTTTAATCAATATTTAATCAACAAGCGTGGAGATGTGGGGTATCTCTTCATCTTCTACCGAATTTACCATGGAGAGTGTTCAGAGGAGTTATTCGTATTAATACCTGCAGCTGAGTTTCATCATAAGACGTCGAAGCAGAATACGAATATTACCACCCGTATCCCCTCGACGTTTGTTTCCACAACTGAGCTTTTCTAAGGCAGTTTTTGCCACCACTATGTGGTATCAGCTGCCCACTAAAGTATTTCCGAACCAATTCTACTTAAGAGTCCTTCAAGAAAAGAGCGTACCGATTCTTAAAAGACCGGCAACTTACTCGCGAGCCCTCTGGCATTGAGTGTTCATGGTTGGCGGTGGTATCACTTAACACAAGATGAGCCTCCTGCACGTTTGCCCTCTGCTAAAACAAAAACCAGTTGGGTTTTTAGATGAAATAAAATGTGATAATTTAAATAAGCTGTGTAATTTTTATTGCGATTTCAGAACACTGAAGAAGGATTACAAAATCTTACTATAAAAATGTGTTTTAGTCGTTCGTGTCATGCGCAGTCGGAACTGGAACAGTTGGCTATGTGATGCTGACCTTTGGTGTATCTGATGCTATAGGATGCTTTGTTACTGGATATATCGCAAAGGTATTTGATCAAAGTTTATTTAACTATCAGTGAAGGTATTGTATTTCATTAGATAAGCTGCCTTTAATTTAAACTTTAACATAGATATGAAAACATTCTTGTCTCTATGATGACACGCGTAATTAGTTTCACATTAACCATAGGTGACTAATCAATATATAAAATTCTCGTGTCGCGGTGTTTGTAGTTAAACTCCTCCGAAACGGCTTGAACGATTCTCATGAAATTTTGTGTGCATATTGGGTATGTCTGAGAATCTGACAATATCTATTTTTCATCCCCCTAAATGTTAAGGGTAGTACCACCCCTAAATTATTATTTTTTTAATTTTAGATATTTTTTTTAATGAATTAAAAATATAAACCTAATTTTCACCCCTCTCGATCAACCTCTATTTTTTTATAAATGATATACATGGCAAAACGACGTTTGCCAGGTCAGCTAGTAATCTATACTAATACTAGCAGACCGGCCAAGCGTTGCTGTGGCTAAGGTTTTTGTTATATTACATAGTAGCAAACTATTCAAGGGAAACGGTAGGAGAACACCAGTCATGGGGACCACCATGCTTTTTTGTTGGTTATGCCATTAAATTGTAGCTTATGTGAAACGTTGGTACTTTCAACACAGCGCCATCTGTTAGAATTATGACTATCAAATAATAAACAAATATTTTGCAATAAAATAATATTGCGGGTATAAATTGAGATGTAAGCTATCCTTTAAGTTAGATCAAACTGCACACGGTGTGCAAATCTGATTGAAATCGGTTAAGTAGTTTAGGAGTCCATAGCGGACAAACAACGTGACACGTAATTTATATTTATTAAGAAGATTATAAAGAGGAAAGATTTGTTTGACGATGTTTGTAACGAATTGGCTCAAAAAATACTGAACCGATTTAAAACATTCTTTCAACATTTGAATGCTAGATTATCACTGATTTATATAGGCTGGAAAAAAAGTAAGGATATATATTCAAAACCTTCGTGAAATGTTTTTAAAAATTACCAGTTGATGTCATTTATTCTGTTATCATTTTGTTTTGATCACCCGTACACAAAGGGAGCCAGCGATATTATTGCTAAATACAATATTATAATTTAGGTGTGTCCGCATTTACTGTACGCTTATGCCAAAATGTTTAAAAATAAATGTCTACCCGTGCGAAGCCGGGACGGGCTGCTAGTTTGTTAAATACAAGACACAGAACCTTATTCAAGCACTTAACCAACTATCTTTCACCGGGAAATTACCAATTTTGGTAACATTTTGGGAAGTAACAAAGTTCATGGATGTTTTTTCTGCCGTTTTAATAAAGATTTACATGATGATTGTGTTTTTGATCTTTAACATTGCCTTACATTATGATATATTGAATATCATACTTTGACTATCTGCTAGTTTCACGGACAAATATTGTGTAACTTAAAAAGGTTCAACTTATATACACTCTTTTATTTTTTTATTGCTTTGAGGATTAAATCCAAGAATACATGAAATTATGATATGATATCTCTCTGTGATTATCTCCTTAAGACACTTAATAATACTAGTTATCCGATGAAATCCTTTTCTACTATTTTTTTTTGTATATATTTACAAAAATGTATCTCTAAATAGTGCTTGTTTAGATTTGTATTCCTTTTCACAGATAACAGGGCGGATACCTTTGGTCTGCGCAGCTACTGTGATTCATATGGCTCTTGTAGCCACAATATTGCTGTGGAAGCCTCAAGCGAATATGAGCTACGTGATGTACATCATCGCTGTGCTGTGGGGACTCTGTGATTCAGTCTGGCTGGTCCAGATTAATGGTAAGCAAATCAGAGAATTTAGGTTTAATAAGCTAGCAGAAAACGCCGTGCAACTCTAGGGTTCGCCAGTCATAAGTACCTTTTTTTAATGGAACAGGAGGCTCACCTGATGTTAAATGATAACACTCACACTGCCTAAAGGATCGCAACTGCCTTGCCGGCCTTTTTGAATAGATATGCTCTATTTTTGAAGGAATTGTTCCAGAAATACTTCAGTCAGTGGGCAGCTGGTTTTACATAGTGGTGGAGCGCGGCCAAAACTGCCTTAATGGCTCTGTTGTGGAACGTCGGACGTCGAGGTGATAAGAATTGAATTTAGTGTTTGGCATCGACGTCTGATGATGATACTGTAACTGCACCTGCTTTTTGTCTTAGACTATTATTAGATGAGTCCGGGTATTTCTGAACCAATACTTGGGGTCCTTCAAGAAGCGACTCCTAAAAGGTTGTCATTCGTGAGCGCTCAGGCAGTGTCTGTGTTCATTCATCATCAGGTAAGCCTCCAACCTTCCAAAAACGGACCTTTTCAAATTTAAAAGCGATACTTTGAATATAAGCAGAAAAATCAATATCATAAACATATTTTTTCTATAATATTAATAATTGCTTGGAATACGCATTAATTATATTTTCAGCTTTCTTTGGAATCCTTTTCCCCGGAAGAGAAGAAGCTGCCTTTTCAAACTTCCGCCTCTGGGAATCTGTCGGCTATATCATAGCCTACGTGATTTCGCCCCATCTCCGTACAAGTTCCAAAGCCTATCTCATTGGAACAACAATGCTTGTCGGTGTTTCTCTATACTTCATAGTGGAATTCCAAGTGAAGAGGGAAAGAGAAGAGAAGGAAACCAAAGAGCCTGTGAATGGTTTAGATAATAAGGCGTTCACTATTGCAGAATAAGACAGGTCTGCCATGATGTTTTTTTTTATTCCAGGTCATATATTAACATTATTTTATGCATGTCACATTTTGTTTCACTTAAGTGGACAGAAGAATATCTTTTATTTAGTAAATTCGCTTGTTTATTTTTATATTAATTCCATGGTCTGTTTTTGCAATCTTTATTCATTGTGCATCCAACCTATACTCTGTGGCTGATCATTCTATAGTATATAAACCGTTTTATAGTCTGTGACTGTTACCATCCACAGTAATAAAAAATAAACAAAGTATTTCTTAATTTTATAGATTTCTCCATACTTTTGATTTTCGATCTAAAAGCATCGACTGAATCTTCTAAATTTGACGTGATATATATAATATGACTTCTGTTTTATATTACTTTTATAAGAAATAATAATAGTTTTTTTTTAAACTTCGAAATACTTAATGACGCAGACCTGTGTAATTTATTATAAAATATATAAGATAGAACGTAATGGCGGCCGTGGTATATTTTTTCGTAATAAATAAGTAGAAGGCCAGACTTCTGTGCCTGAGTCAATTTTTAGGTCTAATGCATGCCGATTACTGGATGTTTTGCTTACGTATAAACAAGTGTTAATTGTGCACATAAAATAAAAGTGCAGCCGTGAATCGAACACATGACCTCAAGGTTGAAGGTTTCTCAAGCCACTAGGATTATATAAAACTCATATGAAGAATTGAATAAAATAAAGAACATGATCTCTGTGTCATGTGAAATGAATAGTTCTGACATACTAGATATGAAAAAGATTTAATAAATGAACCGGCTATGGCTCAGATTACATTATATATATATTTTTTTTTAATAGGAGGCAAACGGGCAGGAGGCTCACCTATGTTAAGTGATACCGCCGCCCATGAACACTCACATGCCAGAAGGCTCGCAAGTCGTTGCCGGCCTTTCAGGAATTGGTACGCTCTTTTCTTGAAGGACCCTAAGTCGAATTGGTTCGGAAATACTTCTGTGGGAGCTGGTTCCACATAGTGGTGGTGCGCGGCAAAAACTGCCTTAGAAAACGCTCTGTTGTGGAACGACGGACGTCGAGGTGATACGGATGGTATTTTGTATTTTGCCTTGAGTCCGATGATGAAACTCAGCTGCAGGTATTAGACCGAACAACTCCTCTGAACACTCTCATGGTAATCGGAGTGCAAATCACATCTCTCAACCAAGGATCAAGCCCACGGAAAGTGACTGGTCGTCGACATTCGAACTTCTTGTGTGCGTGTGTTTGTGTGTGTTCAAATAGATTATAATGGTTTAGATTTACATTTTTTTTTTGTATTTATGAGGATTCAGGTGCCTTTCGGGTCGGTCTAGTATGTAAGTCAAAATTTATAAAATATATTTAATAATTTTGTAAATATTGGCTTTTTTATTAGTTCTATTAAAACCTAGTTTTAGAGTCTATTATATTACTTTTATTATTAATAATTTTTATTATTAATATTATTTTTTTATATATTTATTATTTTAGAGAGAGATCTATTAGAAATTGTATTACCATACTATTAACTACTTGTAGTACGATGTAGGTTTGTTATGAATAAATTGTTGTTAATAAGTTAAAGTTAAACGTTTTAAGTTAAAGTTATGTAAGTTATTTGAACATGTAGTTATTTGTATGTGTAACATAGTCGTTCGATTCATACACATACGAAATTCCTGTCATGTGTATTAGCAAATTCCGATAAATTCAAATGTAGACGGGAAATAATGGTATTATAATTTTATTTAACATACGTCATACGTTTATTTATAACATACGATAATTGAGTGATATATTCATATATTACATTTCTAAAACATATATTTATTTGATTAAAGCCTATAAATTTTATACGTTAACGGTTTATTTTAACAGATTATCCCCTTCATTATAAACATGAATCTAATTGCACTATTTCGTCTCTTTCTGTCAAGTTATCTTTACGATGTGACGAAAAGAGATAGCTATAGTTCTACGAATTATTTAGATTTTATGAGCATATTTAAGTTATTTATTGATTAGTCTGTGTGGTGTTCAGAATTTTTTTCTGGCAATTAATAATATTCACGTATAAAAAAAAGTTATGCATACTGCAATACAAATAGAAAATCTAAAAATGGTTATATTACTTTGAAAGTTATATTTTATTAAACTAATTGTAAGTATTATTTAAGAAAATATAAGGTATCTGTGATAACTATATAAATTATTAAAATATATTACTAATATTGTTTTATTTCTTTCGATTTCGGATATGTCAACTCCACTAATATAAAGAATGGCTGTCAGTTTGTTCTTTGGGTGTCTCTGCTGAATCGATTTTGAAAATTATTTTAGTAGTTAAATAAAGATAGCCTCATATTCCCAAATGATATAAATAGTTTAAAAAATTATGTTTATAAACATTACTAGGAAGGAGTTTTTAATTAGTGCGTTGAAGATTTTATGGGAAGGATTGATATTTTTTTTAAAATCAACAAGTAGATAGTCAGCCTTCTATCCTTGACTTATACCATTTTTTTTTGACGACTGTTTTCTCTCGACGTTCAAGCGAGTATTAAGTGTGAAACAAAAGACCTGTGTTTTTATAAACGACAAAATTTTATTTTTCCGCGTTTGGACTAGGCCGCGGAAGAAAACAGAAATGCCCCATACCCCATTGGGGATCGACTTATATTTATCATAAATGCGTGGTAACAGAATTAATTCAATTCACGAGCTTGCTCGTTTACTAAGCAATCGCAAATATCTATAATAAAAATAATAGTTAATATTCTGATATTCATTCGCGTAATCATTTAGTTTGTTATATTTATTTAGGTAACAAAACAGATACATCTCTATAAAATAAAAAGTAAAAATAAAACATAAAATTGATACATGATCCACAAAATGTTTCACTGATAAAAATAAGATACAAAGCAAAACATGTCAGCAGAACGTTAGCTAAGAAGACAATACAACACAAAATATATAAATCAGGACAACGAGAAACATACCAGTTGATATAATAAAGAAGAAAGATACAAAGCTTAGGACACTAATAGTTGTGCATCGTAAAAGGGCCTGGGACTAGTGCTAGACAGGCTACTTCTAATTATTTTGCTGTATCTTATGTTCCATAATAAACATATTTTTTTTAACGATATTTGAAACGACAAGGTCATTGTATGCAATGATTCTTTATCAAACACCAAAATGTAACTTAATTAGGAAATAATCCCGTAGGTTCGATCCCCGGCTGTGCACCAATGGACTTTCTGTCTATGTGCGCATCAAACGCTCGTATGGTAAACATCGTGAGGAAACCGACATGTCTCGAAATTAAAAAAAACATTCTCTCGTCAAGGAAAAACTCGTGAGGAAACCGTCATGTCACAAATCGAAAAATCTATGATATGTGTGAGGCTCGACCAAGAAAAAATCTCGCACAGAGAAGATACGCTCATCGTTCGTGTTGCTAAAAAAGACCCAAGAATAAAAATGAAGTTTTTTCGTCTGATGATCCGAGAAACATCCCGTCGAGACTGATACGCCGAAGATTAGTGAAAGCTAAATTGTTTGGAAAAATCTCTCGAAAGATACCACTTATTACCAAGCAATACCGAGAGAAGCGATTATTAGGGTTGGATTTAGAAATACTTCGCCTGAATTTGATGAAACTGATTATGTAGGTATCTCGGGGGACCTTGATTGGAACCCCTCCAAGTATATTTGGCTGCCGGAGTTGCGTCTCAGTATAAAAAAATGAAATATAATTTAGTGTATTGTATTTAAATTCGTTAAAATTTCGTACATTTTATATTTTTCTCTTAATTATGATAATATTTCAAGCAGCGTGTATTTCAAAACATGTGAAACGAAACGCAAACCATTTTGACAGAAATTACACTGACAGATTCAAACCATTACAATTTCAAGTTTACGTGAATGTACTTCTGCGTTTATTTTATTTGGATTTTTTGTAAACTTGGCTATATTTTACAATCTAGGTAATTTTTACTGGTCTGTTCTACCCCTAGAGTGTTATTTTAAATCCGTTTACCAATATCTTAGAGCACACAATGATTCCCTACTCGGACGCTCATTTGCCTGTAACCTGGATCTTTCATGACAATGACGCCAAACACACGGCCAATAGTGTCAAATGTTTCCTTAGTGAACAGCGTACATATCCGTTTTAGACTAAACTTCCATTATAAGATATAAATAAATGTTTATCAGTTTTTTCAACTCAAATTATCCTTATTTCTAGATAATTATTATACTTCATCAACTGTCAATACTTCCGTAATAGTCATGGGCATCGGGTTGTAAAAGGGGTTTTTCTTTTTATATTACAAACGTTCTAAGCTTTCTCGTATAATGTATATGAAAAATTTAATAATTTCATTATATTTTTATAATCCTAGTAAATGACAGACTCGGCTCAGTAGCTGAGGAGGGCTAAGAACAATTTTACGATCCATTTTTTTGTCGAACTGAGATTATAGCCTTGCTAAGCACGTTTCTTGATATTTCTTTCAGCCGCGAAGGAAATTATGGGTTTAGTTTCGTCGCGCTCTTCATGAGACGCACGCGCAAGAAAAACGAGGAATCCAGTGATTTCCGGCAAAAAAATATTATTTGTTCGTGAAAACAAAATAAGAAAAGTAAAGAATCTTTGTCAAAAAAACTAAAATTTTAACAAATTCTTGATATTCACGTTTTTATTTCTAGTGAAAATAAATTTTAATGCAATTTTTATACTTTTTATGCTTGTTTGCTTGGTTCGTCACTTACCTTTGCTAATTTAAACTACACAAAACGCAATATTTTAGTTTTGTCCAGAAGAAATAGTTAGAATGGAGATTGTAGGATAAACTGCGAATATGAAAATATTTATAAAGAAAAATATATTACTTAAGTTTATTTACTAGGTTATTAAAATAAAATATAGTGAAAGTGATATCTGCTGATAGCTTATTATAGGCCACACGAACCCAATTATAAAACAATGATTAAACATTTTCTATCGTCATTAATGGTCATATTTATCCCATATATTAAATATAATATTAAATAAAATAAAAATAACAACATTATAAATAGTTTAATGAGAAATAATTAACTATAGTATCAAAATCATAATTAAACTTTAAATTTAATAATCGTGAGAACTAATTTTTTACATTATCTAAAATACTAAATTGTATTTTTTGCTATACAATTAATATAATACACAATAGTTCATATTTGCCATTTTAATTGTTGTCCTGTAGACTTGTAGAGTATAGTAATACTCGTAACGTGCAAATCAATTTATTGTAGTTTCTGCTGATCTGCATTTCTGTTTTATATCCAACTCACACACCAATCCGGAACAATTCAGTTTATTCAGAATCAAACCACCTCATTAACCACCAAACAAGCTCTTAAACGGATCTATACATTGAAAACATTTATTGATTCAGGAATACACAATTTAAAAATACTAATGTAAATAAACAAGCTAAACAACTTCTATAAATAAGAAAATCATATAAAATCGAATTAATGTTCTATTCAAGACCTTGAGAACGCGATATTTGTTACATGGTTAACAATTTGATCAGGTGTGACTCTTGCTAAAGAAACGTTCTAAACATTTTCAGTGTTACCCACATATTAGGGCCAATATAGCTCTGCTAGCATTGGTAAGGATTTTAGAACGAAGGTTTCATAAAATACGATACTTTATGCACCATGATATTTAAAAATTCGTGCACATCTTATGTAAAATGTTTTAGCGTCTTGATTTCTGTTTTGTTATTGAAACATGTTTGTTTATATTTTTAATGCTTATCGTATACACTTTTGCGTACGGTACCGAGCAATATATTTGTATTATCTTAATAATCAAGTAAGTGTTTAAGTAATTAAGTATACATATATTAAATTTTATTTATCTAATACATATTTATTAGTAATCATAACAATCAAATATATAGTAGTAATTTATACAGTAATTTTATTTATTATATTTTTTAAATATGTAGTAACATTTAAAACCACAAAAGGTAACTATAAAATTAAAGAATGAGCTGCGTTATTTAGTAACTAGGTTTTTAATATTGCAGTAGATATAACTAATTATTATCAAACCCATTTTATAATTTAAGACATTAAATAATTGGAATATTTTTATTTAACTTATCAGTTAGTTAAAAACGTTTCAACGTACAATAACATTCTGAAAAACTCCAATGTCAAAAATTAATTAAAAAGAAAATTGTGAAATGTAAAGTTTTTAATTAAGAAAAGCAAGAAAATGACATTAAAAGTAGAAAAGGAATTTGGCCCGAGTGAAACGAAACGTATAGTGAAGAATGTGGTCATCATCAGTTTGGCGTTTATGGTGCACTTCACGGCGTATGGTGTGAGTATATTTTCATTATTCAAATATAAACTACTGATACACCTGTAGATCTGTAAAACCATTTAGTGCTTAAATCAGGTAAAAGTTAGGTGATCCGATGTGCCTAAAACTATGGCCTACAAAGGAACGTACGCACATTTATTGTACACAAGCAAAATGAAGAGGAAATACGCAAAAGACTAGTTTTTCGGTTCCTATCATAATTAAATTTAATTAACAAACTTGTTTTATAATGAATTCATGTTATTTACGTGTATGCTAGATTATAAAAAAGCCGTAAAAAAGATAAAAAAATTACCCAAAATTTTGTAGGGTGCTGCAAATCTCCAAAGCTCCATAAACGCCGAAGAGGGTCTTGGAATGAGTTCGCTGGCGGCTGTCTACGCGGGATTCATTTTATCCAATATATTCCTACCAACGGCAGTAATAAAGTAAGTTTTTATTGTAATTGAGGCACTGAGTATGTCTGAGGAAGAATATTGTGGTGCCTGGGGAACTTTTTGTGTTGTTAAATGCGCACCTAATGTTGTATCAAAAATGTAACCCAGGAGCTTCAGAACGCCAGTTGATCGCGAAACCTTCAGGCGTTAATTTTGATTATGTACTATAGATTATATACGATGAAATAATAAAACGATGTTTATGTATATAATGGCTTAACCTCCGTTGAAATACTTCGAACATTCCAGGTGCTGCTGTAGGATGTGTATCTTTCGGTCTATTTAGAGATTGTCTGTCTGAGAGGTGAGAAGTGAACTAAACAAGACACTATCATTTCAGGTGGATAGGCACAAAATGGGCGATATCTCTCTCGTTTGTGGCCTATATGCCGTTTATAGCTGCACAATTATGGCCGTCATTCTACACTATGATACCAGCAGGGCTGTGTGTCGGTCTTGGAGGCGGACCCCTTTGGTGTGCGAAGTCTACCTATTTGTCTGTGGTAAGTATTGAAAAAGATATTGAAAGTACTGATGGCCTAATCCCTGAGGTCGTAAGAAGGAAAACAAAACCTCCCTTAGACTCAAAAACACGACGGCTTGTGGCAGTCATAAAAGCCTGATCACCTTGCCTATTAGAAAAAACAAGATTATGAAATAGTTTATCATATTTTTTTTAAATTATTGGGGTTTATAGCACAGACCTACATTTTTTGATTCATGAAAATATGTTTCATATTTAACAGGTACTCTACAGTAAATGGGGTGCTAATCACGAATCTGGGCTTAGTTTTTTTCCAGCACCTCAGGTTTTTAGGAAAAGTGTGATTGATGTTTTTCACAGAAACTGCCAAAAATATTGAGTAAATATTCATTAGAAAATTACTCTGCAAAATTGAGTTGTTCAAAACAAACAATGGAGTATAAATAATAATCTACGTTAGGTAATCGTTGGGTTTCTTTATAGTCGTTCTTTTTTCCTGAAAACTGCGTCTTGTAGTTTTCTTTTTGTGGATTTTTCGGTGGCAGTTTGTCAATGCATTAAGCTTCATCAATCCTAATTTTATGTGATGGGGAGGCAAAAGACCATATTTTGGGTCAACTAATGCATCAGGCTGCACATTCTTCAATTCTTTCTCTGAGTGGCCATTCTTTCTTTACATATTGTAAATTTTGCCCTCGACTATCCCACTCGCACAAAAAACATGGATACTTTGAATCCAGACTTCGGACACAAAAGCTTAGATATTATTTTGAAGTCTCGACAGAGTTGCCAACAATATTAGATAATATACTTTATTTAACAACTGCTAAAAATTCTCACACGTTTCTTTAAGATGCAACAAGCACCGAGGCTTAAGTATTACCAGTATACAAAAATCTTCTCTTAGAAGAATCAATAAATAACCTCCATGATGTGAAATCGTAATTGTCAGCGCTCAGTTTCATGACTACTTCAGGAATATTATTACACCAATGAACCCTGTGGAAAGAAATATTCCGCGAACTCTTTTTTCACGATGCATATACCACGAAAATGTGGTTGGAAAATGGAGCCAACTGATTTTTGTCTTTCAATCGTGTTCCTAAGATTTGGACAGCATCCTTTGATAGGCCCTAAGGCACTAAGACATTTAGTTCAGCATGAATTAACGGTTTTTTCGTTTGAACTTTCGTCTGATGATTGCTGTTGGATGGTATGAAGAAAAGGCGGAGGAATGGGAATTTCTGGTCTATGAAGTAGGTCGTTTAGCAGAGGCTAAATCGGGATACTAAATAGTATGTTTATTTTAAAGAAATAATTTTAATGCAATTTAGGAAATATCAATAAGTTTTCAAATTCTTTTCTCTAGTACAAAATATCTCAGAAGGTTTTTTAAGTTTTGTGAAAAATCCTGACGTGATGGGCCGAAACCAAATTTATATTCAGAATCAGCGTACCCGAATTAGCTAAGGACACTTATCAAATTCAAAACACCAAAAATCATGTCGGCCTGAGTAATTAACCAAAAAAAATTAAGACTTTAATCCGTTAAAAGTGTTTTGTTTTAAATATACAGTATATAGTGTGGGGTAGCATTAAGACTAAGTTTTGATAACAATTATAAAAAACTTAAATGTTGACATGACATTTGCATGCCTATTTTTATATGGATGATTGTGTGGTTTTATTTTATATGGCTGAATGTACCACGTTCTTTGCAAGTAAACGATTTATTTATTTAAATAAAAAATGTAGTAATACTGACACTTACTTCATCTAGATTTTTGGAATAAAAAGCCTTAAAAAAAGTTACCAAATTTTATCAAAATCTTTTGAAATGGTAAAAACTGATATTCTTATATCGGTCTATAAATACGTTTTTTTTTAAATAAAATCCGTGTTTTCAGGTATCTGAGGTTCACAGCAAGTTATCAAATATAACAGCGGAAGCGTTGTTGACGCGATTCCTTGGTCTATTCTTCATGATATTCCAGTTAAATCAAGTTTGGGGAAATCTTATATCGTCGCTTGGTGGGTGCTCATTTCCAATTTACCTGTCATTTATTGCGTCTATGAACGCCTTATTTCTCTTCTATTCTATCTTTTTCCGTCAGGATGTAATTTTCTAATTGTCAGGTAAATTATTTAAAATTGCTAATCATTAACTAGTCAGGAGAAAAATATTATCATTAGCAATTAAAAGCAATCAATGTATATGTTGGACGGTTCCAATTTAGAGGGGACTGAGCTCTGGAGGCGAGGGGCTATTTTAAAAACACTTACTTTATGTTTAATATTATATATTCCAAGCACTACACTATAACACATTTATTACAGTAATCTATGTTTAAATATAACTAGGATGTTTCACTAACCGCATCTAGGAGATAAGTACATTTTCATAACGGAAAACAATCATCTAATATATAAAATTCTCGTGTCACAATGTTTGTTCCCATACTCCTCCAAAACGGCTCGAACGATTCTTATGAAATTTTATATTCATATTCAGTAAGTTCTGAGAATCGGTCAACATCTATTTTTCATCCCCCTATATGTTAAGGGTGGTATCAACCCTAAATTTTTATATTTTAGAATTTTTTTTTGTTTTTATTTTTTTATGATACAACATACAAAAATACATACAACCCTTAATTGTCACCCCTCTTCCATCAACCCTTATTTTTTATTAAAATTTAAACAGGTTAATTCCATTCCAATATTCGACTCTAAAACTTTTTCGTCACATGCGACAAGTGTTGCCTGCCATTATTTACATATTATACATACATACAATAGCCAATAAAAAACATGTCAGGCGCAAATAGTTACATACTAAAACGATGTTAATAGCATCATAGTAAGAAATTACAAAAATTACTTTCAGTATTATCCTCGGGCGATAATCAAGCTGCTGTGACCGCGATCAACGCGACCATGATCCCAGAAATCTGTGGAGCGAACTTCTTGGCCAGCGCTGATGCTGCAGATACCTTACAGCGACAGCCTTATGAAAAATCCAGCTTTTATCTGGTTAGTGGCAACTTTGTTAATGTTTTTACAATCTAGCCTAATTTAAGTCTAATAAGTCAATTAAGTCAAACTAAATTTACTAAGGATATTTAACATAATGTTCTCTTCGGGCAAGACACCCCGTTCTTGTTTTTTCCACGTATTACGGTTAAGCACTTAACACAAATGTACTAACGGTAAGGGCAAGAATCAGCAACTAGACTTAGTGGAAAGTCTGACTCCCTGACGTTAAAACTGTATAGGATTTTGTAATGACATTTGATTTCAAATGGTTTTTGTTTGAAAAGTAGGAGTATTAGTCATAGCCATAGACATAACGTTTATTACTAACAAACACACACACAGAAACACACAAATAAAAATAAAAAGCATGAGAGATAACAATTTTTTTCTTTTAAAGAACAACGCATGCGTCGGGTTGTCTCTCCCTAAAATATGCCGAGGCGGCCGATGGCTGGCCATGCGTCATACTCGTGAACGAGTGCTACTTGTGGTGACTGGTCGTACTTGAATTCGTGTATGCGGTGATGTTAATTATTTCGACTAAGGCTACGTCCGCACAGGCAGGAGGTTTGCTTAGCGCCTAGCGCCTAGCGAGTCACCAAGCGAGTAGCTTAGTAAAACGAACGTTCTAGAGTGTTCGCGAATGGCCGCATTGCGCGCTTGGCGCCTAGCTAGTCGCTTAGCGTGTATCGAAGTAAACAAACGTGTTGGTTTTTGTCGCTAGGCGCGAAGCATTTTCGTGGTGGATGAAATATTAATTTCAATAGTTTTTAAAAGGGAACCTCTGTGGAATCCCTCTAATCAATTCCATAAAAATGCAGTCGTCTTAAAGAAGCTACGGGAAGAGGTAGCAATCGAAGTAGAAAAATACTGTTATGCTTTTTCGTAGATGAGTATCCAAATGAGTTAATTTTACTTTAACTTTACTGAAAAGTAGATCAAATGTTTCTCTGGGCATACGCAAATATTCGTAAAACTTTTCGTCATAATTACGCAATTGTTTATACAGAACATTAAACTCCCCATAACTTGACCGTAACTTATTTATGTCTTGGACCCAACATGGTAGAGAAGGTCGTGAAGTTGTATATTTTAAAGAATATTTTTCTGTAAGTAGCAGTTTCAGAGCTATTTTTGAAAGTGACATGTCGCTAACGTGCCGACAAACAAATGACCAACGCACCTAGCGAGCCACTACGCAAGACACCTTTAGTCCGGCCACCGTAGTCACCTAGCAAGTAGCCAGGCGGCAAGCCTCTAGGCGCTAGGCGCTAAGCAAACCTCCTGCCTATGCGGACGTAGCCTAAGTGTTTGCGTGTTGTTCCCACGAGAATGTAAGTGCATGCTCCTATTTCACCATGCCTCCTGCTGATAGAGGACAAGTCTTTGTTTTTAATTTATGTTATTATTATTAATTACTTAATATGTCATGTGGAGCATGGTGTAATGGTTGCTGCTCCTTACAAACGTTGTGTAAAAAAAATGGCGATTAAAAAGAGTGGCGAAGAGTTTATTGCCAGTTCTTCTCTTCCGTTCTACGCCCTTGATTTGAGGACTAGCAGTAAATGTAAAATTAGAAGCATTAATATGTATTTCTTTATTGACGAGTCATAAGTCATCATCAGTATATATATATCATATAGGTAAGGTGACCAACTATTTTTTGTTAAAAAAGAGTACACTTTGCAAGTATTTCATAGGTGAAAAAAAAAGATGAAAAAAAAGATGAAAAAACGATAAAGACTTTATTTTGTTTTAAAAACATATTTTTCTTCCGAGTGGATTTTTTTTGCCAAATGAGGATGTTCGGCTAATAATGTGCGTTTTCCAATTACAGCACTAGAGCGCATTTTGCGGCATAATGCTCAACGTTGAGTGTTCCAACTACAGCAACGCTTCGCACAATTGAGCACTCTCAAAACGAATGCTCTCGCGTGCTTCTCGCAAACAATACCAACACAGTGACAGAAAATTGACCAGTATTTTTCTTTAAGTTGGCATTTATCGAAATTTTCGTTAGTAAATATTATTTATTGTTGAAAAATTTTTAAGGCTTTCGTTTCGTCGTAGATTTTGAAAATAATTAAAGTTATTTCAAACTGCTAAAAAAAATAAATATTAGTATGGATGAAGGTATAAATAGTTACTTTTTTATATTCCACATTTAAAATATGAATACAATTTTATTTTAAAATTCGGATCTGTAAACAAATTTATTTTACAGGATTATACTTTAGAAAAAATTGCAAATAATTAAAGTTATTTCAAACTGCTAAAAAAAATAAATATTAGTATGGATGAAGGTATAAATAGTTACTTTTTTATATTCCACATTTAAAATATGAATACAATTTTATTTTAAAATTCGGATCTGTAAACAAATTTATTTTACAGGATTATACTTTAGAAAAAATTGCAATGGTTTTGAAAAAGTATATAATTTTTTTAGAAATCATTAAAAAATATTACTCAAAACGTAAATGATGTAAACTTCTTACATGAAACTAAATATTTTACTGTTAATTTAGCTTGTTAAAACCTTATATTCTTTAATGGTTTTCTATTATTTCAATAAAAAAAATGTTAATGAAATAATTTGATGATTAAAATAAGCGTAAAAAGTTTTCAACCAATTATTATTGTTTACCACATTATTTATACATTAATGAGGTTGCTAACTCAATTCATAACATTTTTTTTACAACTGACTGACTTAGCTCACTCTGCTGATGCATTTGAAAACTAATTCACGTTCCAATTAAGCTTCAGCATTATGCGGCATTGTGCGGCACTGAGTCGCATAATGCTCTGTAATTGGAAAACGCACAATGTAGCCACATCCGAACAACTTTTATTTTCCATATTAAATTTTACTGTTAAGACGGCAGATAATGTTTTAACAGAAAGTTGCGACTTCTCACTGCTCCAATAATCATTTCCTAGAGAAAATATTCTTTCAACAGCAGCATTAGTGCCTGGCAAACATAAGGAAACTTCTATTAAAACTTTTAAATTTTCATGTGGGATATGTTCTACTCTAAAATGCCTTAAGACTTCTACCCATCTTTTGTCAAGTTCTATTTTCTCATCGTTCCATTTCTCCAATTTTTCTTCATTTAAATATAAATTTACTCTTCGAATTTCTTCAAAGAGAAAATTGTCATTAATAACAATATCTTTTACTTCCTTCATTACAAATTCGACTGCTGAAGAAACATCATTCCATTCAATTTTACTATTTAGAAGGGTCCATTTGAAGCAATTTAATGCTCTAAAGTTCACTATCCATTCTTCGATATATTCATAGCAAATTTTATAAAAAAATTTAACTTCTTTTAAAAATTCATTTTTTATTCCGGGATTGGAATCTTCCAAAACGGTCAGTTTATTCTTTAGAATTAGTGGTAAAAATCCATCATTAAATCTTGATTTCCATTGCAGTATGAAATCGTTTAATATAATACAAACTTCTGCTGCTGAAATTTTATCTCCTTCAATTTGTAGAGTAATTTTATGAAACAACGACGCCTGACTGTGAATAAAATAAAGCATAGGTTCTGACATATCGTTTTGAAAGAATTTCTTCAAAATTGTAGGACATTTGTCAAGGCTTAAAAAATATGAACGTAGTGGGCCATATAACTGCAAAACGCGTTCTAATGCTGGAGTTAAAGCAAGCCATCTGACTTTGGAATAACCAAGCAGTTTTTTGTATTGAACACCAGCCTCTTCACAAAATTCTTTCAAACTTGCTACCCGTACTGTAAACCGATAGAAATATAAATATATATTTGTAATAATTACTTCAACATCTATTGACATTGAACTTGATGCTGTATTTATGGCATTTGATATAATGTGAGCATTACAACCAATTCCCAAAATATTTAGTTTCAGAAGATCTTGTAATTTTGTGTACACATTATTGACACCTTTACGGGTGTCAAAATTAGTATTTGTGTTATCAGCCGAGAGCGCCAAAATTTTCTTATTCAAATTGTTGTCTGTTATAACTCGAAATAAGTGATTAGACAAAATGTCTGATGTTTCCCCTTCGATTGATTCCAAATTTAAAATCTTAATTTGAATACCATTCTTAATATCGAAATATCTTACTAAAATTGGATAAAGTTTTATTTCATTATGATTCGATGCGTCTGATAGAATAGATATATATGATACAGAATCCAGATTTTCTGATAGCATTTTCTTGCAGTATTCATAAAATACGCTGGTTACGATAGACTCACATTTTGTTCGCGCACAAGAAAATTTTTCGTCACAAAATCTTTTTAATAATTTAGTAGTGCAGTCCATGCTGCGAAAACTTTGATTATGGATTATTGTGTGAAAAGAGAAAGTACCCTCCATAATTGCCAATTTTTTTTCATTAGTTCCAAAAGTATTCCCTTTAAAAAATGTTGTCAGTTTGGAAGTTGACGCTGCTGTGTCATGAGACGTTTTATGTACTTTAGTTTCAATGTGTGCCGTTATTGCACTACGTCCATGAATTGCAATTGAAAATTCCCTATTGCAGATTGTGCATTTAACCAAGGAGTCATCATTTTGATTTTTAACAACAATGAACGGAAACTCTTTTTTTAAATTTTCGTTTAAACGATTTTTCCTCCTTTTGTAATCGCTCATATTTGAATTAATAATCTAAAAATTATATTAGAAATATATTTTTGATTTTGATTTTAAATAAATATTATAATCTGATATTTTTTAAGTAAAATGAAAATGAAACTAGGTATAATATTAATACTTACATGCAACTTCCCCTTCACTAGATAAATAAAATTTTATTTTGTACACCACAAATCTTGTTAACTTGAACAAAAAGTACGAAATTGTTGGTTTTCTCTTACCTCAAATTAATTAAACAGAAAGGGGATTCCCATAAAACTTTGCCGTACATACTACGCATGCGTCAAGACTGTCAAGCATGCCGTACAGACTGCACATCAAAGATCACTGATCAGCCTGGGGATTATGTACTCAAATATTGGAGAGATAGATATATCCATCTCTTGTCACAAATGTAATTTTGACGTTAGAAAAAGAGGTTTGTAGTATTTATCTATCTCTCCAGATACATAATACGGCCTCTCAATTGTGCCGGAAACGGCAGCCATATGTGCGCGCGAAATTCAAATCAATGTCAACCTCGTGTCTGGTGTTTGCCCTGTCCTCTGACGTGCCGGAAACGGCAAGCAATATGCGCGCGTGAAATTCAAATCACTGTTAAAATAATATTAATTGAATAAAATTGAAATAATATAATCTACAAAATGTTTTAGAAATACGAGTACAAATGAGTATAGAATTATACAAATGAGTACTTTCAGAGTACAGGTTTTGAAAAGAGTACGGTTTGCGAAAAAAGAGTACAAAACTCAGTAAATGAGTACAGTTGGTCACCTTAATATAGGTAATATAATGTACTTGACATTATGTTACCTATATGATTAAATGATTTTTTACTTTATTTTACGTACGTTTTACGGTAAGAACTCACAAAGCGGTTTGCACCCGCGCCCGCCGTGGTTGCGGGCCCGCAGCCTTTGTAGGATACAGATATTTATGTCAAAAATTTAGTGCTCGTTCAGACACGGCGGGAACCGCGCGATTGTCAGGTCGTGCGGTTTGAACCGCAAAAATGTCGACTGTTCAAACATTGGCGGTTAGTTAGCGATCAGTTTCAAGATGGAAGTCGAAGAGGAACTAGCGTGTATGTGATTGATACATAAAATAAAGAGAAGGCAGTATTGGGTGCATCTAATATTAAGGGATCGACTGACACATGGCCAATTTGTAACACTATATCCCAATTTAAGAATGTTTGAGATAAATTTTTTTGACTATTTGAGAATGTCAATAAAATGTTTTGATGAACTCATTGAACTAATCAGGGAAGATATTTCAAGCTCTGAAACACATATGAGGGCAAGCATGTCACCAAGAAAAACTCTGCACTTCTATAATAACTCAGTGTCGAAGCGATAGCGAGCTCACACGTGCTCTTGTTATGACGTGTTAATCGCGCAAATCTCTTCTTGTACCGGCGGGCGCGGTTGCGATCCCGCAGCCGCGGCGGGTAGCTCCCGCGTGCTCTTCGGTCGGTTGGCGGGCGACGCGACGTTGCTAATCATGCTTATGTTGCTAATTATGTTAAAAATGCTTCGTGAGTTCTTAGCGTTAAACGTGTATTGCGTGTGGGCTGTGGTTGTAATTGGCCCTGGCTCAGCATTATGCTGAGGAGCAGACTGTTCCACAGCGCTGGTCATTCTGCTAGAGACCACAGTTTGCGCGTCAGTCGCAAAAAAATAATAATGTAATAATACTAATACTTAAAAAAAACAAAAATATTAGTAAAATTTAGCAGTGTAAGTAATGAAGTCTTGTGTATAAGCATGTGTGTTTAATTGTTAAAATTCTATCAAAAATATTGAAGCAAATGCTTCATTTAAATTATAGAACCCACCTTACCTAATTATGGTTTGAATATGGAACAAATATTTGCATTTTATTTCAGGCATATATCTAGCGTGCATGGCAGCTGCGGTCCTAATTGTTGCAATTTGGGGTAGACTCTATGGAGAGGTATAAATAATAATTATAATTAATTTTCGTATTTCTTAACAGTGACAACTAATGACAACTTACTGTTTATGAACACCCATCTATATGTCGCAGCCAACTAATTTAATTAGCCGTTCAATTAACAGCCTATCCTTTTAACTAAACACCGCCGTTTAAAAAAACGTGTGTACTTATGTACACGCGTTAGAAGTTATACTTCTTTGGCGTAACAAGATAAAAATCTTTTCAGAAATTTTATTCTACGTTTGTAGAAAAAACTACACTAACAATAGAAAAAAGGTATTTAGTACATTGAAGTTAACTATAACGCATTATCTAGTTAAGTAAAGTTTATTTAAATATCACAAAATTAAATGTTGACTATAGCTAACTTCAGGGTGTCTGTTTTTTGTGACGGTGTACGCGCGCATCGTAAAAATTTACTCCTCATTTTTCCCTAACGCGCCAAAAGAAGTATAACTTCAAAAGTTATTCAGTCGTAGCGTTTGTTACAACATTTAATAATCTGGCTGGCTAATGCTTAGACTATTCGTAGGATAGAGTGTCGATGTGACAGAAATATAAAAAAGATGAAACATATGACATAAAAGAATATTTCTTTAAAAATAAAAAAATTGCTCGAGTCAGTCCGAGCTAAATTCACATTATTATTGTCACTACACTCAACAAAGTTGTGATTTGCCGACGCTATATTGACAGTTTGAAGAGTTTCGCTAGCCTAGCCTAGGTGGCAGAAACTGGAACTAAATTAAAATTAACAGTCAACAGGCTAGGCAAGTAATGAAACGTCATAGATCCTAGCTGTTTGAGCAACTAGCTGAATATATTTCAGGCCGCTAGTTAAACGGCTTTGTTTAGTTAAGAGACTAGGCTGTTGTATGAATGGCTAATTAAGCTAGTTGGCTGCGACATATATAAATAAAAAGGAATCGAAAAATATGTTGCTAAGCGTAAAACTTCGAAGACGGCTGCAGAATTTTTTTCATTTTTTCTCTCCCCGAGGGTTTCTTTGGAGAGAAAAAAAATAACCCAAAAAAACTTATTAATTTATGTCTTTAAATAACTATTTCCGTGACGGGTCGCTAGTTTTCAATAAATCGTCGATGTTTAAAATCGCGCGCGCTTCGTTCTGATCAGAAATGGCACTCAAAAAATATTGTACCATACAATAATCATCTATTTAATGTTTATTTATTTATAAACCGATTCATCAGTACCGGATCACGAGCGATAGAAACTAGTTATGATTGCGGTAGTTTGATAAATTATTAAAATTAAAAGAACTAGTAAGAGTGAGTCAATAGGATTTAGAATAATTTTGTTCAGAGATAATTCTTTGTTTAGTCTATAATAAAGTGATAATAAATCTTATAGTTACGACACTGGTCGCGCTTCCAAAGTAATGGGAGGTGGTGAAATGCTCATGGCAACCCTCAAGCTATTAGTGGAGCCCAAGCAGATTATGCTGATAACCATCATGGTCTTCACCGGATTACAGCAGGCTTTTTTCGGAGCTGATTTTACAGCGGTTAGTATTTGTTTTTCTTGCAGATGCTTTGATTAAATGCCATAATAGATATATTATGGCATCTGCATTAAGTGAGGTCTACTACGGGGTCTCGGGTTCAAATTAAGGTCAACGAGTATGTAACGCTTTGGATCCTGCAGATGCTCTGGGTATTTTGATTAAATAAAATTTGACGATTTAAATAAATTGTGTAATTTTTTTAAGTGAAACTTTTGAGGCGCATGAGGGTAAGTTTTTACGGATGAAACGTCACGAAGATGTGCAGCGATTTTGTGGAAGAAAAGGGAGAGAGCGATCGAGATCGATTGAGATAGAAATTATATTTTTAAAATTAAAATTTCGTAAAGAGAATTTATAAAATATGTATTAGTATTTTATATTTTATGCAAAATAATTAATTGAAATGTCAAATGACGAATTCTAAATTAAAATGCCACGTGTTTTTATTATCAAAAAAATAAAAAAAAAAAAATGTATTATTTGTATTCATTTTCGACACTTAATATTTTAATGACAATTAAATTCTTAACATATCTTCCTTTTTCCCTCCCTTTAAGTCTCGGAAATCTCAAGATCTGTATAAATATGAACGAGACTTAAAAATTAGTTTGCCAAAGAAGTTTCACTTCTGACATGTGCACGCACTTTCTTAATGATTAATTTGCAACACAGATTTCTTAAGCATTTTCAAATATTACTATGTGTTTCAGTCATTCGTGTCATGCGCAGTCGGAACTGGAACAGTTGGCTATGTGATGCTGACCTTCGGTGTTTCTGATGTTATAGGATGCTTTGTTACTGGGTATATCGCAAAGGTATTTAATCAAAATTTAATTATTAGTGAAAATCCTTAGAATATTATATTTAATTAAGCTGGGTCCGTTGCTTACATTAGGTAGTCAAGGTAGGTCATAAAAGGCAACTACCGCAGCCCATGGATACTCTGATATTGTATTTATAATATAATACATATTAAACTTTAGTATACAGTTTTGTGGCATACACAAATTGTGGTTACGAAAAAATACTAGCAATACCTACCATCTAACCTGCGTTTAATTTAACTGCAAGTATATAAATTGTAGTTAATAGCTAAGAAAAAGGGGTTCAATCTATGTATCCTACCATGTGTTACATACGGCTGCCAGACTTGGGCATTATCTCAGAAACATCTTCTAAAGTTGAGAACATGCCAAAGAGGAATGGAAAGAAGCATGGTGGGTGTTACACTGAGGGTCCCGGTAGAATGCGACAGCGACCCCGGAGCCTCTGTAACGCGGCTTTGTCGGAACTACTCGAGGTGGTTTTAGTGGGTATTGCTCACCCAGTCTCTGAATAGCAGAGATTTTGGCGTGGGTCGAGTCCCACATACCCCTGTTCAGGGGATGCGCAAATGCATTTCCACCTCTGATATCAAAAAAAAAGGGTGTAACACTGAGACATCGAAAAGGAGCAGAAGAGATCAGATCAGCGACCAAAGTAAAAGACATTATAAAGAAAATAAGGCAATTGAAATGGCGCTGGACTGGGCAGATGACGAGAGATAGCAGGTTAAAATGGACAAAAATAATTACAGAATGACAACCACGTGATGGAAAAAGGCAAAGAGGAAGACAGAGCAAGAGGTGGGCAGACGATATAAAGATAATAGGAGGCACAACTTGGACAAGAAGAGCTAATAATTTTTTAATTTTTAAAGGCCGGCAACGCACCAATAAAATTGGGTGTCTATGGGCTGCGCAGACTGCCCTTTTTGGTCGTCCCGCAAGCTCGTTTGCCCCCCTATTATATAAAAAAAAAACAGAAAAGAATGGAAACAGCTGGAAGTGCTATGTGTCACAAGACACGCTGACTACCTAAAACGGGGCAAGTGACGTATTAGATTAAGTTTTATTTATGTATTAGAATTAAGTGTTTTTTTTTATGTAACTTAAATAATAGTTATTATATTGTACTGGGTGTCAGCAATAAAGGCTTAATAATAATAATATAAATTGTATGTATAATTTAACAACGCAAATAAAACTTTAAAGGGTTACTCATTATTTTGATCATACAAATCCTGTAAGGAAGGATCGCATTTCTTGTACTAAGGGATGAACTTAGTTGAGCAAAGTAATAGCTATGTATTTAGTGCAATGAAGTCTCTTGTTTATAATATTTTTATTTTACGTACGAATTAAATTCTTTCTGTTTTTTTTGACTATTACTTACGTGCAATAGGCACGTGAATATTCACATTAACTATAATAATTTGTTAAATCCAAGAGATGGATGTTCTTATTCAAGGCTGCAGCTCATAACTGCAGTTCATAACCTACAATCTTTCAACGGGAAATTACCATTTCGATGACATATTGGTAAGTTACAAAGTTCATGGATTTTTGTTATTTCGTTTTAATAATAATTTCCATGATATCTTTTTTAATCTTGAACGTTGCCTTAATAATAATAATCCTTTGTTAATCCACATCTTATACATACATTTAACAAAATAGATATAAATACAAAAAATACTACTCTAACATTAGACTTTAGACTCCGCGGCCTCTGTCCGGGAAAAGGCCTCCTCCCACTTTTACCACCCAATTTTATTTTGTGCCATCGTCATCCAATTTTTTCCAGCTATTCTGTTGATCCCGTCGGCCCATAGCTCTTTGGTCGTATTGAACGTTGCCTTACATTAATATATTGAATATCATACTTACTTTGACTATTTCGCTTGTTTCACGGACAAATAGGTGTTGAACTTAAACTCAGCCTTTTGCTTTTTTAATTGGTTTGAGGATTAAATCCAAGAAAACATGATATTATGATATGATATCTCTCTCTGATAATCTTCTTAAGACACTTAACAACACTAGATATCCGATGAAATCCTTTTCTACTTCTAAATTTTGTTTTAATAAAAAATGTATCTCTCAATAGTGCTTGTTTAGAATTGTATTCATTTTTCACAGATATCAGGACGGCTACCTCTGATCTGCGCAGCTACTGTGATTCATATGTCTCTTGTGGCCACAATACTGCTGTGGAAGCCTCAAGCGAATATGAGCTACGTGATGTACATCATCGCGGTACTGTGGGGAATCTGTGATTCCATCTGGCTGGTCCAGGTTTATGGTACGCAAACCAGAGAATTTAGGTTTAATAAACTAGCAGAAAACGCCGTGCAACTCCAGGGTTTGCCAATCAGAAGTACCCTTTTTTTAATGGAACAGGAGGCTCACCTGATGTTAAGTGATAACACACACTGCCTAAAGGATCGCAAGTGTCTTGCCAGCCTTTTAGAATAGGAAAGCTATTTTTTTGAAGTACCCTAAGTCGAATTGGTTCGGAAATACTTCAGTGGGGCAAAAACTGCCTTAAAACGCTCTGTTGTGGAACGACGGACGTTGAGGTGGTACCAATGGAATTTGGTATTTGGCATCGACGTCTGATGATGATACACTTTTGTCCTACACTATTATTAGATTACTCCGGGTATTTCTGAACCAATAAAAAGATAGTTTCAATATAATAGCAGAAAAATTAATATCATAAACGTATTTTGTCTATAATAATAATAATTGCTTGTAATACCCATTAATCACATTTTCAGCATTCGTTGGAATCCTTTTCCCCGGCAGAGAAGAAGCTGCCTTTTCAAACGCCCACCTCTGGTCATCTGTCGGCTTTATCATAGCCTACGTGATTTCGCCCCATCTCCGTACAAGTTCCAAAGCCTATGTCCTTGGAACCACAATGCTTGTCGGCGTCTTTCTATACTTCATAGTGGAATTCCAAGTGAAGAAGGAAAGAGAACAGAAAAAAACTAAAGAGCCTGTTAATGGTTTAGATAATACGGCGTTCACTATTTCAGAATAAGACAGGTCTACCATGAAGTTTTTTTTTATAATTCCAGGTCAAATGTGTTGGTACATATTGCATATATTGCAAATATTAACTTTATTTTATTAATGTCACATTTTGTTGCACTTAAGTTGAACAAATATTTTTGAAGTAAAACTTCTTTAGGCACATGAGGGTAAATTATTTACGGATGAAACGCAATAATAATAATATAAGCGTCACGAAGATGTGCAGCGCTTTTGTCGAAGAAAAGCGAAAGAGCGATTGTGACCGATTGAGAAAGAGTGAGAAGGGCGGATTACCTTATAGAAAGTCTATTTTAAAATTAAAATTTCGTAAAGAGAATTTATGAAATATCTTTATATTTTATGCAAAATAATTTATCGAAATCTCAAATGACGAATTGTAAATAAAAATGCCACGTGTTTTTATTATCGAAGAAATAAATTAAAAAAATTAAATTTATAATTTGTATTAATTTTTGACACTTAATATTTGAATAACAATTAAATTCATTAAATTCCTAACATATCTTCCTTTTTTCCTCCAAGTCTCGGAATTCTAAAGTTTTAGATTTGTATAAATATGAACAAGAGTTAAATATAAGTTTGCTAAAGAAGTACGCACGAACTTTTTTTTATTTAGTAAATTCGCTTGATTTTTATTAATATTAATACCAATGTCTATTTTTGCAATCTTTATTCTTTGTGCAACCATCCGATCGCTAGCTCGTTATTCAATTAAATTCTAAACATATTATTAAGAATCTAGCTACAAGTGCACATGTGCCATAGTTGCTCATTTGACTTGTTCGGTTGTTTACGAATTTATACGAATTGACGTCGAACATGTGCCCGAAGTGGGATGGTCGAGTCGGAGTAGGGAATAGATTATAATTATTAAGAAGTTGTGACACATGCGCACCGGTAATTCCTTTGTTTAAGTTTGAAGTTATACAGTTTATATAAAGTCAGTGAAGTGAATTATAGTGAATCGAGTCTCTATTGGATCGTTTCATTTCCTACCCTAAGAACTAGATCAACTAGCACTTATATTATACTCTGTGGCTGATCATTCTATAGTATATAAACCGTTTTATAGTCTGTGGCTGTCACCATCCAGAGTAATAAAAAATAAACAAAGTTGTTCATTAATTTTATCGATTGCTCCATACATTTTTCATCAAAAAGCATCATCTGAATCTTCTAAATTTGACGTGATATATATAACTATAATAATACAATATAATTTTGTTTTATATAATAATAATAAAAAATCTTACGAAATACAATTACATTTACAATTTTTATTTTATTTAAGTGTGTACAACGACAAACTTCCGTTCAAAAACAAAACGTTCTGTGCCACCTCCCACCATTTGCCGATCCAGCCAAGCTACTGGTATCCGACCACTACGCCGGCTCAAATAAGCTTCATGCGCTCAAAGTGCCCTATAACGTGGCCAATATAAGGCCCTTGTATTCGCCTATAATGATGGGCTGGGCTACCAACTTCGGGTTTTTTTTCATAACAAACATAATATTGTTTTTACCACGAGTAAATTATTAAATGGTAAATTGGGCTGTGGTTTGCCATTGTAGAACACTAGCTGTATCGATAACATTTTGATTTTAGTTATCTACGACCCTAAAGCCGGAATAACATTACCAAATTAGTGGTATGCATGTGAAATCAGTTTCACGAAAGTAGTTTCGATATATCCGAAAGTAATTCCGTAAAATAATTAGTGTCGTGAAATCCACAGTATCGCAGTAACCATGGCCCCATCAGCATCAAAGCTGTATTTTTCTATATCCAATGTAGCTAAAGAGATTATCTATTATCATTATAATATTAGTTTTTACTAACATTTTGCGGAATTAAAAAACATATTCCGATTGAAAATCATGCAAAATTACTACTTGATATTAAAGTTCCACTCTTATACTATTCAATAAACTTATAAAAGTGCGTCAATAACAAAATTAGTAAAAACGATTTTTGATATGCCGTTGTTTTACCATTTTCCATAGTGCGCCAGGACGTTTCAACAACTTAATTCAACAGAAGATATCTAGACACGGCCTTAGACTGATTTCGCTAAGCATTAAATTATCCAAAGCTAAGCACAAAATTTTGTGATACGTGTTAAGACTAAAACCAAAGTATAAATTAGACATTACCACATGTAGGAAAACTACAATGCGTTCGTGAAGTGTATTTGTATCATATTCGTGAGTTTCATTCTGTTAATGGCAATAATAAAATTAGTGATTAAATAGATACTATTAGTTTTGTACACTTTTTTCTTAAAGTTCGATATTGTATTTTGAAGTCTTTCAATTCCGTTTGTGTGGGCAGACATACTTCCTGTATATGCTTAACACTTCAGAACGTCAGGTTTAAAACCCGGAACTCCGACAGTAATAAAATCGAATTGCGCCTCGTCTGTTACTTTTGGCCGGGCCCCTCTTTATGTTTACAGTTTCTAAGTCCGGAGATGTTTCCGCCCTCTCTTTACCTTTTACTCGTATAAGCGAATTATGTCTAGATATTTTGAATAGACAGAATAAACGAAAACGCGTGCGTAGTGAAGGGCGGTCGCGTAAATATAAATAAATAAATGTATATTTATCAATAAATAATTAAATATTTGAAAATTATTGTAACGTTTGCTGAGAATCGGAAATTGAAAATTTTTGGATTTTGCTTAAAACAAAATTCAAATAGTACAGAGTTATGAATATCAACGTCGCGGTGAAAACACTGTCTTTACATTACATTACTAGGAAGGAATTGTAATAAAGTGAATCGAAATTAAAGCGTTGTAAATTTTAATAATTAAGTTTGTTTAATATATAATGTAATAAGTGTAATCCTCTCAGGATTAAGATAAATAAATCAGTGGCACTACAACCTCTTTAGGTTTTGGCCTCAGATTTCTGAATCTGTTTTATGATGATTTTTTCAATGTAATAGGCCAGTAGGTGATCAGCCTCCAGTGCCTGACACACGCCGTCGACTTTTTGGGTCTAAAACATGTCAGTTTCCTCACGATGTTTTCCTTCACCGTTTGAGCAAATGTTAAATGCGCACATAGAAAGAAAGTCCATTGGTGCACAGCCGGATATCGAACCTACGACCTCAGGTATGAGAGTCACACGCTGAAGCCACTAGGCCAACACCGCTCTATCTAACTATCTCTGCCAGGATTAAACTAAGCTTTAAAAAACTCATGCACCATATAGTCCTAGCCATAGATTTCTTTATCACTTTCTTGATATTTTTTTTAATCAGCAAGTAGGTTAGCCTTCTGCCCTTGACATACACAGTTGTTTTTTTTTTTGACGACGGTTTTCTCTCGATGTTCGAGCGAGAATTAAGTGTAAAACAAAAGACCTGTGTGTGACAACCGACTAAATTTTATTTTTCCGGGTTAGGGAGCGTTCAAGTATTACGTAACGAATTTTGGGAGGGGGGAGATCATCATGCAAAACGTTACGATGCAGGGCGGGGATTAAATTACGCATTATTGTTAATATTATTTTCGACTTACACCACATAATGGTAATTTTTAGTCACTGGGTGGTCACGAAACGTTTTACTATTGGATACAGAAAAACGTTACGGCGCGTTACATTGGGGGGTCAATAGTCGCTCCCTAAATGCTCCCTTAGGACCAGGCTGGCAAAGAAAGCAGAAATGCCCCATGCCCCATTACTACATTTATATTTATCATAAATGCGTGGTTACAGAATTAATTCAATTCTCGAGCTTGCTCGTTTACTAAACTAGCAATCGCAAATATCTATAATAAAAATAATAGTTAATATTCCGATATTAACTCGCGTAATCACTTAGTTTGTCTGTTTCCATTATTCGCGCAGCGCAACGATATTTGAAATGACAAGGTCATTGTATACAGTGTTATTTTATCAAGCATCAAAAATCTAAGTTAATTATGAAATTAATTCCTAAAGCAGTGCGACTCTCATTCCTGAAGTGGTAGGTTCGATCCCCGGCTGTGTACTAATGGACTGTCTATGTCAAACTCTCGTACGGTTCAACATCGTGAGGAAACCGGCATGGTTGCTCACGAGTCATTTCTATAACTATGACATGTGTCAGAAGGCTGATGATAAATCTATGAAATTCACAAAAAAACGGATGCTATCTGAGGCATTTAAAATATATATAAATTTGTATACAATAAATGTATTTATATAGACCACTTCGTTGGTTACGCATGGGAGAATACCTAAGGGTAATTCGATTCGCGGGAATTTTTAAAAGTTTACGATTATTAGATACTAAATTGTTTTATTCAATTATATATTTCCGAAACTTTTAAACGTTCAAGCATGAGTTGACAGCGATAGAAACTCAATGTCATTTGTCAGATTTAATGTTGATTTTGAAAGTGGTGTGATGGAAACAGTGCTTTACAGGTCTGAGTTGGTCCGTGTTCACTTAGTTAGGGTCCTATAAGTTAAACGAACGTTTCTTATGTAAACTATGATAATAGTGGTATTGTGTTAAATAAAGGTATGTATTTTATATATTTTAATGAAAGTGATTTAAATATATGCAACTGTTTTCATAATAAGTTATTTTTAAGCGACATAAAAGTCGAAACTTTTGCAAATTTGTACTAAATTTTGTTTTCGTTTTGTTAACTGATTAATAATTATTTAAATTTAATTTTATTGATTACATTCTAGACACTATAGATAGAACAAAACCTAATCTTAATTTTAATCTCGCCGTGGTATGTAATTTTTAAATTATTAGCTGTTTTTTTTAAATTTAGTACTAAAAAATAAAAACAACTAGAACCATAAATGCAATAAAACTATATTTTTATAGTTTTAAACACTGAATGCCGGATAATTAAAGGGTTATATGTTAAATTTATTCTGTCTTTATATATAAGTTAAATTTGATATAATTAAAACTTGATTCGCTGGAACGCAATAAATTTAACTCGTGAAAAATTAGTTTTCCAATTCGTTACA